AGCTGCCCTGCCATATCTGGGCGTCCTCTTCGAGCTCTAAGCTCAGTCGGATCTTCTTGGAGGGAGGTGTGTCCGACTGCTCCAGCGGACGCTTGGAGCTTGGGCTCTTCGTTGGGACCGGAGGCGGAAGCCTGGAAGGAGAGGCGACAGGAGACGGCGACAAGTCCACCACATTCCTTGGTGGAGGTGGAGTTGCCCGGGGAGCCGAAGAAGGAAGAGAGGAGGAAGCTGCTGGAATACCTGTCGACCGCTGCGACAGTCGGCTCCTCATCTTTTCAGCGCGATCGGCCATGGCTGGGGTTGGAGCTTCAGCTTCTTCCGAGCTCGTAGAGTCGGAGTCGTAAGGACCTGCACAAGATTGAAAGAGTCAGCAGTCGGACAAAGGGAAGAAGTTAGAAAAGAAGAAGTTATGGAAGGCTACTTGTGGTGGCCGCCCCATCTGGCAAGAGACCCCATTTCGCCATAGCCCACAGTCGCAACCAATACTTGGCCGAATAGGGCCCCATGCTCTTCAAGAACTCGGCGCCCTGGATCACGTCCTGGGTGAAGACAGCGCGCCGGGAGCAAGGTTTGAAGAGAGCAGCCGGCCACATGGTGGGGAAGGTGAAGGTAGAAGAGGAAGGACGGACGAAGAAAAAATAGGGCTTCCAGTCCTTTATGGAATCTGGAAGACCCTTGAAGAGTTGGCACCCAGGTCGGGCAGAGACTTGGACAAACCCTGGGGAATGCGACCCGACCTTGTTCACCGTGAACAAACACCTAAATAGATCCAGGTCGGGCTCACAAAGCCACTAGTGACACAGAGTGATGAAGCAGACGAGAAGGCGGTGCGAGTTGGGTACAAGTTGACCCGGGACCAAGTTGTAATGGCGAAAGAAGAGAGAGAGAAATGGAGAAGGTGGCACTCGGAAGCCAAAGTCCACCGAGTGTAGATGAATGCCAACGCATCCCTCCGGCGGGTCGTAAATCGACCGGCCTTTCGGTGGAAGGACGGTGGCCGAAGGACCCAGAAGGAAGCGGGCCATATCGAGGTCTGCCTCGGTGATTAACGACGGAGACCCCGCCGGCCGGGATATGGGGTCAAACTTACCCCTCGGCCATTGGGAACCGTCGGGAAGAGCCGCCACTGTCGTGAGGGGGGCCGGGCTCAGAGGAGTAACCACCCTCGAAGAAGAGGGAGCCGGTTGGGATGAAGACGCCGATGGAGGGCTGGACGGAATCTCCATACGGCGAGGCGGAGAAGAAGAAGATGAAGTTGAGGAAGAGGAGGTTGAAGTAGAAGACCCCGTCGAGCGGCGGGAAGAAGAAGAAGAGGAAGAAGAAGACATAGTCGGAGGCACCAATCTAGGAAGTCTCCGGCGAAGGAAAGAAGGAAGAGAGAGTTGAGATCGATTTGAGAATCTTTGCAGAAATTTCTAGGTGAAGTGCGTGGATGAAGGATGAGGAAGTATTTAAACTTGGGAGAATCCCAAGGAGTTTCCACGTGTCGATCATCTAATGGAGAATAGAGAAGGTCGATAGGATGTGATGGGACGACTACAATTAATGCCCTCGAAAGGCGGAACGACGGTTGAGCCTAGGGTTGGCCTAAGACGGCGCGTCTGTAAACCCTAGGCCTAGGACGAGTTGAAGTGACCCGACCTATTGACATAAGGCCCATCCTAGGTCACGGCCTCTGGGCTACCCGGGTATAGGTCAAGACATCTAAAGAGTGATCGCTGGGCCGGGCCCATCATTCGGTATGAACAACTCTAGACGAGTAAAAGACCAGGCCGAGTCCATCGGTCGACACCGACCTCACGTCGCAACAAAAATGAAAACAAGGTCGACTAAAAGCATAGTTTAGTGACAGTATAAGTCAAGTATGAAATAAAAGCAAGACAGTTTATTGATCGTGGATGGATAAAGGCCTACATCTCGGCCAAGTTACAAGATAAAGGGAAAGACAGATCATGGGTCAGTTTTCTCTTCCGCCGGACGAGTAGGAGGCGGACCCTCTAGGAACAGCTTGGGGCGAAAAGGAGGTGGAATCGGATCTGGTTTTGGCACATCGTCCAAGTAAACTGCCGGCTTCCCATCATCGATCATTTGGAGGGGCCTCTCAAGGGCACTGGGAGACATGTCCACCCCAAAAGAGGAGGAACCTCCTACACTTCTTCTTCGTCCGGCGCCGGCTCCTCCACTGCCGGCTCCACTCGTCGCTCAGTCGACTCCAGAGGAATTAAGTCCAGCATGTCTAGGGGGACGACAATAGGATCTGAGGTGGAGTCGCCCACCAAACGGCCACCGTTGGCCAGCCTTTGCTGCCATAACTTTTCCAGTCGAGCATGCTCCTTTTGGCGGATGGAGAAACGACGATCGCCGATTCGATAACTCATGGTCAGAGTTGCGGAAATGGAGAATGGTGAAGAGCATGAGTAGAAGTGAGCCCCTTTATATAGCCTAAAAGGGGGCGAATATCCAGGCGAAAATCACGGAAGGAAATCATAACTGCCATCCTCGGGCAGGATTGGACAATATTCGGGAATCTCTGCCAGGGAAGGGTTCCATCAAATCCGCTTGGGAAGAACAAGATTCGAACTTTAACTGGAAAAGTGAGATCTTTCAGGGATACTAGGAGATTACGGTTGTCAGACATCGGGATAAGACACCAAGCCGACTCGGAGATCGGCCGACTGGTGAACCTAGTCGAGTGAAAAAGAAAGACTTCAAAAAAGCGAAAATTACGTGGATTATTATTATTCAAAAGGGAGGTACATCAAGAAAGAAACTTATTACATCAACAGATAAATATATATATGTTCCTTTTGTAGCTCTCCCTTTAAAACTTCACTCGGCGCTACTGGCAAACCCCGGATGGCACAATCACTCGTCGGGGGAAGAAGGCTCGTCCTGAAAGAACATATCCTCCGATGGTCCGGTAGGAGAAGAAAAAAACGAATCCCAGAAGGTCGGCATAAGAGGCGGAACGATGGGCGCCTCGTCATCCGGATACAGCTCAAGGTAGCGGGCGAAATCAACATTGGTCATCAGATCAGTCGCCGACCCATCCAAGTCGTCGAGAGGGATGGTGAAAGTCATTTTGAAGGCCAGTTGCTCTGGAACCACCACCTCAACGAATGATCCATCCTGTGCAGTGACCCGAGCCATAGTCGGAGGCTGGGGGTCGGCCAAGGATGGAGCGTTCGCCACGGAAGATGGATTCGTAGTCGACAGTCGGGAAACAGAGGAGGTGGCGCCGACATGATGCCTTCTGGAGGAAGGTCGAGGAGCCATCTTCTTGCCCTCTTTCTCCAGTCTCGACCGCTTAGAAGGGAGGGGGCGATGTGGCGACCCGAAGTCAATCTTCTTCCCTTTCATAGGGGAGCGACCCATGATTGATAAAAAAAAAAAGGTGAGAAAAGATGCTAGGAGCAGGGCGCTATTTATAGGATCTCGAGAAAGAAGGGAGGAATCTAAACGGCATCGGCGAATCAGGCAAATCACGAGAGATCTGGGCGTTACTCAACCATTAAGGGCAGTAGATAGAGAGAGATTTGCGGACTGAGGAAATAAGCGTTTATACTTTCCGATATCCGAGTTAGAGGACCAGATATTGGAAAGTGAGGGACTAGTTGATGGGGTATGGACCCCGGCCCAAGAAGAAAAGCCCAAGAGGAAGGAAGAAGCCCAAGAAGAATGAAGAAGCCCAAGGGGTGGAAGCCCAGAAAATAACAAAGCTCGAAGGGGACTTGGACCGAGCCCGGGAGTCGGGACGAGGACTTGGTCAGATTGACAAAGAGCCGTTGGAAGACATTTATGACGGCATTGAAGAGCTCGGTCAAGGAGCATTTGGGAGGCCCAGTAACGGCAGCCCCAACAGCCCTTCGACATAATTGACGCTTAAGACCCCTTAATGTATTTTAACTCGGATTAAAGGATGGCCTACTATAAAAAGGCCCCTCCACAGATGTAAACCAAGCGAGTCCATGCCCAGAGAATAGAGAAACACTTTTGCTACTTTTATTTATTCATTTCTATTTTTCTAACTTTATTGAAAGGTGAATCCACCAACTAAGGTTGTGTTGGACCTCCCTGGGCCCAAAAACCCTAAAACCAACAAGAGGTATCCCTTCCACATTCTAATTAATGACGAAGAATTGAAAACATTTTCTATTCCTATTCCCATCCTGTCCCAGTAGGTATATGGGAATTCTGTTAAATTTTGAAGAAACTGCCATATTATATATATATATATATATATATATATATATATATATATATATATATATATATATATATATATATATAATTTAAAAATTTTCAAATATGTAAGAAATTACGAGTAAAATTTTATAAGTATAATTAACATTTAAAATATGAAAATACTTCTTTCCCAGTATGTTTTTACCTCATAAAATCTCTCCTTAAAATTATTCAATTAAGAGGCTCATTAAATATCATAATGTTGAATAGTCAAAACATTTTCATTGGTGGAAATAAGAACATCTCCAACTGTTTGGTTTTTGCACAACATTTTAGGAAGCCAAGTAGGAGAGAGAGAGAGAAAAAAAAAAGGATAAAAAGCAGTTGACAATTAAAAAAAAAAAACCTAACGTTAAAAAGGTCAGAGTGGGGAGTGGCCGCCAACTCTGACGCGTCGTAGCGGGCGCGTGGAGAACACACGCCCATTGAGGAGTGCAGTGCGCTCCAAACGCGCGAGATGCGTTTTTTTTTTCTTCTTCTTCTTCTCTTGCAAAAATCATGTATTTGCAGGAGAAAAAGACCTTGAAAAACCAGTGTTCCCATTAGTTTTCTTCTCATCCAACCAGTTTTTTCTCTGAAAAAACCCAACAAAAACCACAAATGTGGATGCCCCAACGGTTTAACTTTTTCTAACTCAGACGGTAAAGAAATGCAGTGAAAAGTGGAGGGGTGTTTAGCATTACCCTAAATTATTATTGTAGTTGTAGACTTTAAGTCTTTTTAAATTTATTAATTTAAAATTATAGTAAATTAAAATGAGTTATTGCTGGTGTATTTGGAATAACAGGAATGATCTTGTGTGGAATAGTCAGCCATGGAACTCAGTCAGAAATGAGGCAACATCTCTAGTTATGGATTGGTTGGGAAGCATTGAAGGTGGTGGGCTTGGATTAATAACTTCAAATAATCCAAATACGGTCCCTATCCATAATGCAGATAGTGTAAGTGTGTTTGTTGATGCTGGTATTTTTTCCGATACTGGTGAAGCTTATTATGACATCTTTGTTCAAGATGGTAATGGAACTTTCGCAGGAGCTAAAAATGGACATGTCAAATGCTTGAATGATGCTCATCTAGAGGAGGCCTTGGCGATCAGGGAAGCACTATCTTGGCTTAAGGATAGGGGTTTCAACAGAGTTGCCGTGTTATCAGATTGTCAAATGGTTTGCAGGTTTCTCAATGGCACGTCTCAGGATCTTTCATATGCTGGCTGCGTTTTGCGAGAGTGCCGTGATCTTAAAAGACACTTTGAATCAGTGTCCTTTCAGTTTGTTTCTAGATCAGTGAACAAAGTAGCTCAAGCCTTGACAAGAGCAATGCGTTCTCAAACTGGTCCTAATTGTTGGTTATTTTCTGTTCCTTCTTGTATTGAACATCTTCTTTAAAGAAACGTTTTGCTTAGGTTTTCAAAACAAAAAAAAAAATGAGTTACATTTTAAAAATAGGAATTGGATCGAAATAACCCACATTCTACTATTACTTAACGCAACACAATTCATATTTTAGTCAGTCGTTATATCATGCACTACGGTGCATAATCGATTATGCACCGCGTGTCAAAACGGTGCCGTTTTTACAGTTATAACGGAGTGACACTACAGTGTGTCTAAACTGACACTGTCTCACGTATTATTTTTATATTATCAAATGAAATTGCAGTTATATCAAAATGATACTGTAGTTGTGGTGAAATGAAACTATAGTATATATAAAATGAAACTGAATAACATTTCATATATTTGAGAGTATATTGTACAATGAAGTTGTAATTATATTGAAATGATCATGTAGTTGTGTTTTAATAAAACTATAGTGCATATAAAATAAAATTAAATAACATTTTCACATATTTGAGTACATAAATATTGAATGAAACTGTAGTTATATCGAAATGAAACTGCAGTATATACAAAATGAAACTGAAGAACAGAGTTATTTTTTGTGAAAATTTTAATTTTTTTTATTAAACAAAATGACATCGTTTTGATGCACAGTGCATGATATTAAACAAAACGACATCGTTTTGATGCGCAGTGCATGATATTAAACAAAACGACATCGTTTTGATGCGCAGTGCATGATCGATCATGCACTGCGGTGCACGATATAAATTGCATATTTTAGTATGACCCATATGAGTGTAGACGAATAGGGCACAACCCATTTGATATCATTACCCAAAAGAGGAGGAAGAAAGAAAAGGGCAACTTGATGTTCAAACCCTGAGGGCAAGGTAAAAATGTGGAAAGACAGAGGACCCGGAGTAAAGATCCTTTGGCTCTGGACCATCGGAACTGCCGCCGGTATTTTTTCCGATCTTCTTCGTCAATTTCTTCACCGTCACGGTAGATGATGGACGCCTTATTTATTCTCGTTTTTCTGTTGCAGTTTTGGTGACTAGTGTGGTGAGGACTAGGCTGAGAGACATGGATCAGCAGTTCATGAACGCTACTCAACAACCGCCGAACCCTGAAGCCACTGCTGACTCCGAAATCCTCATTGACGACAACCCACCTACTGGAAAATCCATGAAAGTAGACCAGTTATAGTAACTCTCTCCATGTCAGAAGCTCCTTGAAATTGGAGTTGCATGTCACCTGTTCGACGAAATGTCAGTGTAATAACAATCGTCCTTTTGTCCAAGAATTTCAAAATTTCTTTTTCCTCGACTCTTTTCATATTTTTTTTTTGTGGGATATTTATCTTGCTGAAGAAAACTAAAGTGGGTTAATCTTAACCAGGCTTCAGCTTCTCTTTTTTACAAGTATTGCATGTTTTCACCTGTTGCCTTTCTTGCAAAGAAATTTTCAAAATCGAAGTGTTTGATGGTTGACTTACTTCTTCCAAAATGTTGAATCCTCAACCCCTAAGGGCTCATACTTTGGTCAGACAGAGCATTTTGGATGATGTAAATCAGGGTGACTCAATGACTCAGCAGACATGGCCAAATGTCGGTGCTCTCAAGAGATCTATTCACTTAGGGCATAAATCTCGCTCAAGGAATATGTCCATTTAGAGCATAATCCCCACACTATCGCTGTCGAAGTTTGAACTTTGATCTCTTCTTTCAAATATTACCTACTGGACCAGTGAACTATGCCTATGCAAGCTTAATGGTTGACTTGCTACTAACAGCACTTGGTGGCTTTGAACCAGGTGTGTTTAACCAAAGTTATTGGGTTCAAACTTTGAGAATCTAACTATTTTAAAACTCATGAGAGAGGTTTTGCTTGGGTACGAACATGATTAGTTTTGGTGCGTGGAATGTTAGGATGAAATTTATGATTAGAAAAAAATAATAATAAACAAAGTGCAGATGTATCTGTGGTTCTAGTATATATTGATGTCAGAACCAGAGCTGCATCACTTTCATTGCCATTCTTGAGTACGACACTCGGGGTGGTTCTCACTCACCCTGTTTTCACTCTTTTCATCTCTTTCCATACACGACCATGCTCATCTAATCTTTTGACGACGCTTCTAAATGAGAACCGTAAACAAAAAGCGTGTGTCAGAACTGTACGTTGTATTGGCTCAAACGCATGGACCACTTGAGCAACCTACTTGCTGACCCTGAGGCCCTTAACACCGCCTCGAGGGGTTGGTTGGTGAGGACCTGCATGGGGTGTGCTTGGAAGTAGTTGTCGTGGTGTCCACGACGAAGATTGCCTTTTCTGTGGGTGAGTACCTGAGCTCCGCACCTCGGAGGGCTCGGCTCATGTAGTACACTGGTTGTTGGGTTCCCACGTCATCCCTGACCAGCACAGAGCTGATCGCGGCTTACGAGATGCCTGTAACACCCCCAAAACTTAAACATAAAACAAGACATTCAAACTTAGAGATAAGTAGAAAGTCTAACCAATTAATTTAAAACTAAGCAGAAGATAAACAGTTAAGAGATAAACAGTTAAGTAGGGATTTTATGCCACATCTAGATTTCCAACCTAGATGCACAGGCTTTACAAAAACACTATCCAAAAAGAGTCTACAAGTCCACGACTCACAGGCCAAAACAACTAAGCTAAGGGGGAGGGAAAGCTAGTCTAAACCGGGCTCCACTACGCGTTCTCGGATTGACTATTCACCTGAAAACATAAGGTATAACAACCGTTAGCAAAAATTGCTAAGTAACTCACTCCAATGCGTTGAAATACATAACATATACTTTATAGATGAAAACCGTTTTGAGACTTGAGAATACATAAGTATAGCCTTAACAACTCTACCTTTACAAATCACAAGGAATGGAAGCAATACACCGACCATACAAAGAATGTACTCCACAATACCACTCAAAACCACGGATCAACGATATGAATCAACTCAAAGAATAGAGATAATGAATCAAGAGATAACCAACGATATAGATGTAACACCCATAATTTTTAAACATTTAAAGTTTACGAAATAAAGACGAATCTAACATTAATTCCCAAACAGAGCATAAACTAAGCATAGCTTAGGGATGAAAAATGAGTAAGACCAATTCTTAGAGACGAATTCTATAATTATTTTATGAAAAATACGTACTATATGTACTCTCACACTCTACTCCCAATTTTTACTCCACACTTAAAATTTTGATGTAAACACATTTACATGGCCCAAATGAAGAAAATAACCTATCAGGCCCCGCCACATATTTGAAGGAGTAAGATTTAGAAGTCAATCATTATTGTGTGGATCATATTATCAAATAATGTATATTCCGTACACAAATAATATACTTTTAGTATATTAAAAATATGCATTGTATTCAGAGAAAATATATTATTTGAATATTGAAAATACATTATTTTATAGGGAAAATGACATTTTTTCTCCCTAAATTATATAGTTATAGCACTTTTCCCCCTTAAATTATTCATGTAAGCACATTAGTTCCCTCAATTATTTTCAAAGTGGCGGTTTTTTCCATTGATATATTAAATAGATATTTCTACCCTTAAAGTAAACATTTTATTTATTTTTATTCTCTAACAAATTATTGCATATACGTAGGGATGACCACGGTTCGGTTCTAATTGAACCGGACACTATAGCAATCGAATTAAAAGTCTCTAGTTATGATTCAGATCCAGAACCCAATATTTGGATTTAAGTTTATTAAAATTATTATGAATTAAAAAAACTGGATCCTGAACCGTGAACCAGCGGTTTTGGATCCGGTTCGCGATTTTGAACTGTCTTTATTTTAAAATTTTATTTTATTTTAAAATTTTATTTTATTTTAAAATTGTCTAAATTCAACAATAAATGTATTTTATTTTATTTTATTTTCAGTTCGGAACATGAACTGGCCATTCTGGTTCGCAATTTTAATAAACTCTAAATATCGGGTTTTGATTCTTAATTATAATTGGAATGTTTTGATTTGGTTGTTATAGTATCTTGTTTGGTTGAACCAAATTGTGGTTACAATTTGTTAGAGAAGAAAAATAAATGAAATATTTATTTTAAGGGTAAATATGTCTATTTAACATTTCAGGGGAAAAACAGCTACTTCAGGAGAAAAAGTGTTATAAGTATATAACTCAAGAAAAAAAGTGCTATTTTTCCTATTTTATATAATGTACATTCAATATACAAATAATGTACTTTTAATATATTAAAAATGTACTTTTTGTTATGATCCACACAACATTATAATTTGTTTTTAGAAGTACGCGTAATAGAACTCTTATCCTATAAATTAGGGATTAAATTTTTCCCATAAAAACAATTATTACATCGTTATAGTTGAAACTCCCTATGTTACTAAAATTAACACAAAACAACGAGGCATGGCTTGCCCACATGTCGGATCTTGAAAAGGAAACGGTCGGGCCGTGTAAAGCTTTGCACAGCCACAAACGCAAAACCTTAAAACAGCCTTCCTGGATTTCTACCCTTTCACCATTAACATACGCACAACATACATACGTATCTTATACACATTCATGGATGTAGTGCTACATTTATTGCCAAACTTGTAATAAGTCCTATCGGCGATTCTTTTGCAAATCTCAATCCTCTCCTCGTTTCTCTCTGCCCGTTTTGTTCGTTCATCTTCCCGTTAACTTGTCTGTTTTTGCAGGAAAAAGACAGGCGGGTATGTATCTGATCACCTCTTCTTGTTGAACAATTCTTGTGGAACTGCATGCCATACTTGTTTTTTTTGGTATTAATTTGGATTTGGATTTGATCCGAGAAAAAAGGTACTCTCTCATGATTGGATTTCTGGGTAATTCTGCTTATTTTCAGCTGATATGGGGGTGGGTGTTTTAAAATTTTGAGTATTTTATATATGATTTACATTAGGGGTAGAAAAGTTTCTCCTTGGATTGAAGAAACTTAAAGAGATCACTGGTTTGATAGATCTGATCTTGATGCTCTCCCCTGCTTTTGGTTTTCTTTAATTTTGTAATAATTTAGGAAGAACAAAAAGAGGGGAAAGAGGAAGTGAGTGGGTGTTTATATTCTTGTTATATATATATATATATATTTTAATATATTATTATACTATTCATATTGTACTTTTGTAGGTGTGGTATTAAAAGTTAGTTGCCTTTTGAGGCTGAAACAAATTTGGGGGATTGGATTATTGTGCTGTTTCCTAGTTGAAGTTTATTGGATTTGGCAGTGGATGCAAGGGTGATTTGATTGGATTGGGGAAAGTGGTCTGAAGAGCTCAGAGAGGGTATTATTAGGAGGGCTGTGACGGAGGCAAATACGGAAAATAGGGGTTGTGATTGTTTATCTGTTCTGGATTGCTTATCGAATATATTGAGGGCCCTCCGGATGGGGTCCTGCTTTTCTTCTGAAAGCAGGAGCCCGCATCCGGGTTCTCCCATGTCTGCTATTGGGATTCAGAAGAAGAAAAGCTTCAAGAGGAGGGCAGCGTCTCGGAATTCTTCGTTTGATTACAGGAGGGAGGAGCATTTGCACCGGATTCCAGGGCGGAGGTTCTTGAATGGCTCCAGTGAGGTGGCTGCCCTCTTTAGTCAGCAGGGGAAGAAAGGAACAAATCAAGACGCGATGATTGTTTGGGAGGTGTGTACTCGTATTTGCATCTCCATTAGGCACGGCACATAATAATTATACTGTTGCATCACTAATCATCTTTTAGGCTAATTAAATAGACTATGTTCGAATCCCAGCCAGCCAAGTTGGCTAAGGATCCACAAGGTCACGAGTTTGAATCCCAGACTCCTTGGTTTGAGCCGGTCAGCTATGGGCAATTTAGGCTGGTTTACCTTCCTGTGGTCCTTTGCCGGCTAGGGTCAAAAGGCGGGGTTTACCTAGTCTGGGGGGTTTCCCTTGTCACCCCAAATAGACTATATGTTTCATAAGCATCAAAGTATCATAGTTGAGCACTGCAACTGAAAGAAGTAAAAGTATCCAATGAAGTAGTATTCTTTAGATAATAGACATTGGTGCTTTGTAGACATGACTAGCATACAACTGCTCACTCTATGCTCCATTGGAAGTCGTAGCTATTATACAAGTTTCCTCCTTGCTCTATTATTCTCCAGTGCCTAGGGCGTTTCGTTTTTGTTTCTGTATATAATTTTCCCGTTTTCTGGCTTTTGCGTGTTCTTTTAAGATGATTTCTTTTCCTCTGAGAAGGAATGGTTAAATGATCCTTGTATTATTAAAATTTTCAGAATTTTGGATCAAGAACAGACACCGTCTTTTGTGGTGTTTTTGATGGCCATGGTCCTCATGGTCACATGGTTGCAAAGCGGGTGAGAGACTCTCTGCCCTTGAAATTAAGTGCCCACT